TGCTGGCGATGGATGACGCTGTGCCAAGGGGTGGCTTTAACCCAGGAGTTCAGGGCTGAACCTTGATGGCTTCAGGACACCACCGAGAAGTGGGGCCTCTGTTTTAGAACCAGCAAAGGTGGCCGTTGTGAAGAGCTGGTCTGGAAAAGTTGCCAGGGCAGCCTCACGGATGCCGGTTGGCCGCTGGGTTTGCCGACGGTGGCCACGCTGTGCTCTGGTTGTTGTGCTGGGTGGCTTTAACCCAGGAGTTCAGGGCTGAACCTTGATGGCTTCAGGACACCACCGAGAAGTGGGGCCTCTGTTTTAGAACCAGCAAAGGTGGCCGTTGTGAAGAGCTGGTCTGGAAAAGTTGCCAGGGCAGCCTCACGGATGCCGGTTGGCCGCTGGGTTTGCCGACGGTGGCCACGCTGTGCTCTGGTTGTTGTGCTGTATTGCCATGGGTCAGTATCCTCACGAGGACTAGCTCCCTGACGTTTCCTCCCAAAAGCACCACCGGGGGCCTGCGGACTCACGACGGCACCTCCGTGCTTGGGCGCCGGAACCGGCTCGAGGGCGGTGATGTTCACGGTTGGATCCCCTCCAAACAGCGCCACCCCTCCCGCGTGTGCCCACATGGTCCTCCGGGCACGCACGACGTCGGGTAAGGAGGGCAGGCCTCCCTTTTGGGGAACCGGGTGGGCATCTTGAAGGGGGGGGCAGACAGGCATAACAGGCAGCAGCAAGAGGGGAGTTCAGATTCCCTGGGGTGCGTGTCCAAGGCCGGCTGTCACCTCGTACGACATCTCAGCCAGTGCCTTTTCCTTCACACCCTTCCACCAAAATCACGGCCCTGGCTCCATCCTCCTTTTGTGGTGCTCAGATAGTGAGCGCCAGCCTTTATGAACAGAGAAGGTGGGACGTCCCACTCTCAGGAAGATTTTGCGGCCTCGGAGGGGAAAAGAAATCTAGGAGGAGAAATTACCATCCCGCTAACGGGGCAAGTATATTCCGCCCTGCAGCGCTCGGGACACTCCTGGAAAGTCCGCAGTTTTGATTTATTTGTTTGATTTGCAGGTTCCCTTTCTCCTGATAAGGCAATCTGCAATATTAAAAAAGAATAGAATTAAAAACCTCATAAGTTAAGCATTAAGAAACAGTTAAACTTTATGTTAATGAAAACACAACTGAATAATGTCCGTTTTCCTCCCCTCTCTTCCAGTCGGCTCCAACAGTTCAGGGGGTTCCCTGTGCTCTACCAGCGGCCGCGTCCTCATCGGCTCGCCTCCGGGGATCTACGTGGGTTCCTCTCCGCCTGGAGCCGATGCAGCGCCGTGCCTGAAGTACATGCCTTACGGCGCTTCGCCTCCCAGCTTGGAGGGGTTCATCACTTTCGAAGCTCCTGAACTGCCGGAAGAAACGTTGATGGAGGTACAGAAAGAGGCAGCCAAACACCCATCCATCCCCCCCCTCAATATTTTCATTGAATTCTGGAATGAGGGCTCCTGATACCATATATTTTCTTCAGTAGCCTCCAAGCAGGCACATGTGGCTGTCATCCGCTTCCTCTTCACAACCGCCCTATGAGGTAGACCAGGCTTTCTGTGAGATGCTGTATCCACGTAGCCTAGGCCCATTTCCCACCTGTCTTGAGGAAAAGTCCGTGGCTTCAACCGAATCCTAAACAAATGCGGTTGGAACCGCCGGTGCTCGTAATCCAGTCTCGAGGCCGTCTCTCGCCTCGCTCCCTGAACCTCTGCCAGACCTGACAGGGCGGTGGTTCTGAGGAGAAAGGGGTGCGACCCGTGAGGAAGGTTAAGCCCTTTCGGATTGCTTGAGCTCCCTGACGGAAAGGCAGAAGAATGTGAAAATCAATTTAAACGGTGGAAGGGGCAGCCGCGTTAGTCTGTGCAAGCTTGTAGGTAAACGCAAAATGGAAATAAAATTTAAAACAGGACAAAAACGTGGTGGCACCTTTTAACGTGCGCTTTCGTGGACGAGACCACACTTCATCAGGTATTAAAAAACATAAAAGTTAGCGTTTAAGGTGCTGCCGTGTTTTTATTTCTCTTTCGCTTTTATGCTTAATTGAATTTATAATACTGATCCGCCGTAAAAAAATGTGTTTGCTAAAAATACGCTAAAACGGCACGCCTGTTTACAGCGGTGGCCTCTGCCCGCCCAGCAAAATAGGCTCCTTACAGAACAGATTGCCCCTGATTTCAACCACCGTTGGGTCAAAAATGGGAAGAGAAGGCCTTTTTAAAAAAAGCCTTTGTTTATAATGAAAAGAGTGACGCAGTGATTCCGGAAACATTCTGCGCCTGTGGGCCCCCCCGGAGAAGGGCCTGTTTGTCAGGAGGTAGAACTTTTTCAGCAACCTCTTTTCCCTTTTTTTCCCCTCCTCTCTCCCCCTCTCCCCCCCCCGGCCCTTCCCTGGGCCCGCCAGAGGGAGCACACCGACACCCTGCACCACCTGAACCTGATGCTGGCCTTCACGGAGTGCGTGCTGGACCTGACCGCCCTCCGGAGTGGGAACCCGGATCTGTGCGCCTCGGCCGTGTCCCTCTACCAGATCCAGGAGAGCGTGGTGGTGGATCAGATCAGCCAGCTGAGCAAAGAGTGGGGGTAAGGAGAGCTTTCTGACCCAAAGTCGTCGCCCCCCCCCCAGGAAGGGGGTAGGTCATTCCGGAGCCTATTTCAGGGCTCACGAGACGTGCCCAGGAGTTACGACTTTAAGAAACAAGTTTGAAACCCAGCGTGCGGGCCTAACCCTGCGCGAGACCTTTGGGATTCCTCTAGCTGAGGTTTCCCAGCTCTGACTGGCAGCAACTCTTCACCGGGGAGGGGGGGAGATTCATGGGGTGGTTCGCTCCCGCCGTCACCACCAGGATTCATTTTTTTCAGGCTCTTGCCTTTGGCTCGTTGGATTTTCGATGTGTATATGTGTCACCTCTCCAGGACGGGCTTCAGTCCTTTGGTGACATAATCTCATGCGCCAGATGGTGGAGCTTACTCCCCTCCCCCTTTGCTCTTTGTTTAAATTTCTAATTTTTCATGGTTTTGGAATGATCCACCCACCATTGAACATCGAAAACAAAACTTTGTTTTTTAAAGTCTTGTGATCAAACCTTTGGTGTTTTTTTTCCTTCTTTCCCCTTTGCCCCGAAATTTTTCTGCAAGGCCTTTTCTTTGGGTTAGCCTTAATTCACCCCCGGCACGTCCCGCCTTTCCTTCTCTTTCCGCCAGACAAGTGGAGCAGCTGGTTTTGTACATGAAAGCGGCCCAGTTGTTAGCTTCCTCCCTGCACCTCGCTAAAGCCCAGATCAAGTCAGCCAAGCTGAACCTCTCGACGGCAGTGAAGCAAGGTACGTGTGGTCGTCGGACTGTGAAGTCACCAGGGAGGTGTGCGCATAACGCACTGACCTGCCGACAGGGACGTGGGGGGGGCATTTTTCAGGGGCCCTGGGATTTCTGCTGGACCCCAGTTTCTGCCAAAAATGTGTTGAGCACGTGACACACACAAACACACACCCAGATTTCTCTGAAAGTAATTTAGCCCTCGGGCTGGAAGAGATTTCTCATCCTCGGAAGAAAATGCTAGGTAGCTCAGGGGTGTAGGAGGTCTCTGGCTGCAGAGACCGGGGCTGGACCCGATGACCTTTAGGGTCCCTTCTAGTTCAGCGGTTGTAAGATCTAAGCCAATCCCCCCAGACACACAGAACCAATATGTTTGCGGAGTCATTGAGCGCCGCCGCCTCCTGTTTTTCCTCCCGGCAGTGGTCAAAAACATGAACGAGCGGTACAAGTTCTGCATCGGCATGTGCAAGAAGCTGACAGAAAAACTCAACCGGTTCTTCTCGGACAAGCAGCGGTTCGTCGACGAGATCAACAGCGTCACGGCCGAGAAGCTGATCTACGGCTGCGCCGTGGAGATGGTAACGGCAGGGGAAAGCCCTCGAGCGAGGGAGCGGTTGCTGGAGGAGGGCGGGTAGTTAAAGAGAGCAGGAGTGGGAAACGGTGCCTTTTTTGGACTACAACTCCCAGCGGAGGTGGCTGAGGGATTCTGGGAGTTTTTTTGTGCAAAAAAAAGTTGTGTTTCCTCAGTATGGGTCAAGAGCTGCATCCAGACTGCCTTGAAATCCTGGGGCTCAGTAGAATTTCTGAGGGACATCGTGAAAGAGGGAGGAAGCTTGTTTGTCAGAAGGTTGGATCTGAACCTGGGACTTCAGATTGCAAGAAGGATGATGGGTGGATGTTGGGAGGACCCTCTGGGTGGGAAGAGCTGTTCAGCAGTGGAATATGGGTTCTTCCAGAAGGTGGTGGGCTCTCCTGCATCGGAGGGTCTTGGGCAGAATTTGTACAGCTATCGGCCGAGTTGGGTCTGTGCCTTCCCAAGGGGTCAGACTAGATAGCCCGTAGGACCCCTCCCAGTTCTACAATTCTATGATTTTATAAAGCAGGCTTGGAGAGCATGCGTACCACATGGGGGGAGGGACACACACACATTTGAAGCTCACCGCCCAGATTTATCTTCCCAGAGAACCTAAGAGCAGAGGGGGAAACCCTTTGTGTGTCCATGAACAGAGATGCACAAACAAGCTAGGCAGAGAATCAGTATTGTCAGGGGGATTAATTAGAACCGGCTTCTCTCTCATTAATACTTCGTTTGTTAACATTTCGAAAGTTACTCAGGTGCCATGTCTGGCAAGTCTTTCAGCGGTTTTAAAAGCAGTAATTAACTTTAATCCCCCAGGGCCATCACAGCCCCGGTTACGTTCAAAATTCCCGAGGCAGGAAGGCAGCGCATGCTTCCAGAGCAAAAGAGATCATGCCATGTATATATACTGCTGTAGGAGGGCCTGGTGGGACTGGGCAAAGACGAAAGGCGTTTCTATGGGATTTCTGAATGAAAGACTTCTTTTTTTCCATGGTGCTTGTGGGAAAAGACGGCCAGGGTTTTGCTGGTTGTATTCCAGCCCTCTGTTTGTCAGTAAAGGGATGAACCAGGACATCTCGTCGTGCGAATGTTAGGGTGATGGAGTTACATCTGGGTGGCGGGGGGGGGGTTTCCCTCTGAAATCCCCCTGGAGGTTAATCGTGCATCTCCACCTCCCTGCCCAGGTACAAGCAGCCGCCCTGGACGAGATGTTCCAGCAGACGGAAGACATTGTCTACCGCTACCACAAAGCTTCCCTCTTGCTGGAAGGCCTGGCCAAGATCTTGCAGGACCCGGCCGATATTGAAAACGTTAACAAGTGTAAGTCCCCCGCAGTCAGTCTGGCTCGTTTTAATTTCTGCAAACTCACGACAATAGTTAGCTGTGTGTCACCGAGTCAGAACTGACTTACGGCGACCCTCGAGAGGGCTTTCAAGGTAAGCAGTGTGTTTTAAGGAGCACTTTTACTGGTTCCACTCCACCACCACCACCCCTTGAGCTTATGTGGCTGAGCCAGGGATTTGAATCCTGGTCTCCAGAGGCCCAGTCCCTTCCCTCTCTCCAGCACACCATGGCATCTGATTCATTGTATATATAGTCACTGGTTTCATTGGGAGTTTGGGGAATGTTAACTTTTTGGAGGGCTGTATCTCAGACAGAAACCCTTTGGTCATTGTCGCCACTCCTCTGAAAAATGACTTTTCCGAGGTCTCTTCTCTGTCGAGCTGTTCTTTGGGGGCTAAATCTTGTCAGGGCCTTCTCTGCTGTGGCGCCCTGTTTGCGAAACACTCTCCTCTTGATCATCCCATTGCTTAGATTTCATGTGCGGTGCCAAGGTAAAATGTGGCTGTTTGCCAAAGGATTTAAGAATCTTGGCTGCTGTAGGTTGAAGAGGCTACCCGTTAAATACAGTTTTGACTTGTTTTAAATTGCTGAAATTGTTGTATATGTTTTTTTTGGGGGGGGGGAGAGACTCGCACACTGGACAGCCGTCTCATGAAACGGGTTGGAATGTTTTAAAAAAAGACCCAACTAGAGTACCCCTGTCGAATCAAAGGGAACTTGATCAATCAATGTCTCCATAAATTTCATTGATCCAGTATGTCTCATTTTAAGAAAGAATGGGCAGATTTGGGTTTCAGCCCTGCTAAAAACCTGTGCTTGGCTCAATTTTAACGTCTTCCCTTTTGCTTTCAGACAAAGCCAGTATCGACCGAAGGCTCTTGGCCCTTTGCTGCAGCGCCGTGACCGTTTACGAGCAGTAGCCGGATCTCCTGGGACTAATCGGCGGAGGCTCTGCTCGCGGCTACACGATCAGGTCGTCCTTGCCTCGAGCCCTAGCAGTGGCTGGCTTGTACGTGGCTGTTGGTGGTCAACCAAAGAAAAAAAGAAAACGCCGTCAGTTCCCGGAGTCGGAGGAGAAATCCCGAAGTAACGTTGGCGGACACTTTGCCTTACCGCGGCTCATACCTTGCCCTCAACTCTTTTGTCCAGCTCGGTTAGGAAAGAAACTTGATCTGCGGAAGGACAGAGAAGGGCTCCTCTTTTTTTAAAGCTCATATTCCTTACGAGAGAGTGGCACAAAAAAAAAACCCCACAAACTTTAGATCGTTAGTCATAATCCAGCTCAGATCGCATCCCGTTCTGGGCAGAAAAGATGCCCTTCTGGTACCCATCCATGGATCGAAGATGAGACGAATCTTCAACCATAAACCTGTGTTTTGGGAGCCATCAGGATTCGGACCTGAGTTTTGTAAATACTGAACACCACTCCTGGTTCCCTCAGGAAAAACAAAAAACAAAAGAAGTGCACCTTTAAAAATACGCAAGAGAAGGACGGACGTGGGATTTTTTTAAATTGAGTGTATTCAGAAAAGGGGGCATTATTTCAAGCTTCCCGAAACAAATGTGACCATTATTGTCTGTATAAAAACCCACTGTATTTTTTTTTCCTCCTTCTTCCTGGGCCTTCCACCACTTTATATTGCACTAATATACTGCATTGACTGTGTACTCGTTCTTTTTTCTTCTTCTTTTTAAAGAGAAGGGCAAAAAAATAACCACACACCCTAATTTCCAGGATGCAGAAAAAAGGCACAAGAATGAACTCTTCTTGGGGAGAAGGGAGAAAAAAAACACAAACAAACCAAGAAACTCGTTTCATTTCACTGCCGACCTTTTAAGTAAAATAGATAAACTGCGCCGTCAGAAGAACCAAACTTTGGCAAGAGTTTCCGGTGTCGCTTCTTTGCGGACTTTCGGACAGAACAAGAAGGCACCTGTGTGGGCTTTTTCCCTCTGGCTCCCTTGTCGTGTCTGACTCTTGAGTAACCTAACCCGGTTTCTGGACTCATTCTTTCTCTCTCTCTCTCTCAAGTACTGTTCTGAAATAAACGGCAGCTTGCAAACCCAAGCTTCCCTCTCCCAAATACTAAGAGGTTTGCTTTTGTAGCATGTGTGAAACCGTCTCGTCTGCTTTGGGACCTATTGCTGGTCCTGTTCCTCCCCCAACCCGCCCCCAATAGTCTCCTGTTTAGGGGGCTTGGTCTCTCTTCCCCCCCCCAGCTGTCTTAGAAGATGCTCTTGTCGTTTCCGATCTCTTCTTTACAGAGAAGCGGGAGGCTCTTAGAGGCTCTGGATGTCGTGTGGCAGTGAATTTACCTTCAAATAGCGAAGCGTAATCCCTTCCCCTGGGGGGGGCTGTTCCCCCCCCACACCCGGCTTCTGCAGACGCTCCCTTTCTCCCCGCCTCCCTGCTCTTTGTTCCTGACCCGTCTCTGCTAAGGTGCTCTTGCCGTTCACAAAGTATCTCTGCTGTCAAAATGTGTTTCCAGATGGTTTTTCTTTAATTTTGAGGACTTTTTCAAATTTTTTTCTGGATTTGTTTTTAATTGCCATCACTCAACCAGCTTGGAACACTTGAAAACACACCCAGAACTCTTCAGATTGAACCTTCAAACTGGGTTAAAAATAAAAAATAAAAACCTCACCACTCGGGCCTCCTCGGCAGGGAGGTCGCTGGCAGGCAAGCACCAACAGTTTTCATGGACTAATAAAACTGTATGTATGTGTGTGAGAGTGTGTGTATGTTGATCTCCCTCTTAATTTGTTTTCTTTTCTCTTATTTTGTTTTGGGTTTTTTTCCCCTCCTGGATTTGTTTTGTTTTTTGTTTTGTTTTTTTTGCTTATTTTGTTTTGATTTTCTTCCCCTCCTGGATTTGTTTTGTTTGTTTTTTGCTTTGACAAAGTAATGTACTTTTTACCTTATTTATCAGTACAAGAAATTCCAGTTCTTAATTTGAAAGTGTTTCCATCCTTTCTTTTTAATTTATACGACGTTTGTATTTTTAGGTCTTTAATACAGTATTTCTACTACCTCTCCTTTGTAACTGCATGTGTTCATTCTTGACCCGTAACATCATAACTGAAAAAACGGCAACCTTGTTGCATAATTTTTATTATGGCCTGTATAAATGTATATTAAGGTTTAAAAAAAAAAATAAACGGATACTCTGAATTTTTTTTTGAGACCTTGAATCTAACGAGGGGAAATCAAGACGTCACACTTCACCCATTTTTTATAATACTTTACAGTGGGGTCTTGACTTGAGAACTTAATCCGTATTGGAAGGCGGTTCTCAAGTCAAAAAGTCTGTAAGTCAAGCCGTCTGTAAGTCAAGGGTCCACTGTATTTTGAAAATCCATTCTGTGGTGATAACCTTTCATTGAGCCGACAAGACAGGGAGGGAAAATGTCCGGGCTTTCAAGAAAAGCAAGTCTGTCTCTGCCAGGTAAGATCAGAGCCTGTAAGTCATGTAATAAGTAAAATAGTTGTTTTTAGAACTAATTACTTTTGGGGCGATAAATAGTGTCTAGTGGCAGAGTTATGTTTTAGGTAGAACCAGCAACGTTTCTTAGATTTGGTGGGTGGGTTGGCAGCTTTTTGGCATTTTGATATTTGCAAACATTCGCCAGGGGCAGGATCAGAATGGGCCGTTGCATTTTCTGGCTTGCTGGTGGAAGAGAAGGCTGGACCCTTGGTGATCAGGCTAAGCGCGGCTGTCAAGAAGCAGAGGAAAATTATACAGAAAGTCATTCCAGGGGCCCCTTCAGGGAATACGGAAGTATTAGGCTTGACCAGATCGCCCGTAGATTTCTGAAGTGATACTTTTGGGTTTGCCTCTTGAACCGTGCAGTCCGCTCAACAGCTGTTCCCGATCCCCTTTGAGACCTCTCGGGCATTCTTCAAAGTCTTGAGTGCATCTTTTATATAGAGATAAAGGAGAAGGACAGACATGGGCTTTTTTAATTGGGGGTGATGAGAAAAGAAGTCATAAATGTGGAATTAGCTGAAGGAAGGCAGCAGTGGCCACAACGGTCGGCTTTATCCGTTACCTGCCATGCTGAACAAAGGTTCATTTTTTCAGTTATCCCAGCGAGAACAGCTGCTCCTCTGGCCGTCCTCTTACAGCAAAGGACCTCCAGAAGCCGACGGTGGCGGATGTCCTGCTTTGGAGGCAGAAAGTCTGGAGCCTAAAGGCCACGGAAGGTTCGTTTTTTCAGTTATCCCGGCGAGAACAACTGCTCCTCTGTTTGGCCGTCCTCTTACGGCAAAGGACCTCCAGAAGCCGATGGTGGCGGATGTCCCGCTTTGCAGGCAGAAAGTCTGGAGCCTAAAGGCCACGGGTCTCTGGGACTCAGCGCAGGTGTGAGGAGGTGCTAGGCGGTTCCCGAAGAGGCTAGAGAGAAAGCGCAGGATGATGTCCGAAGCAGATTCCGCTAAGGCGTGCGGGTGAACTAGACCGCCACATGGTGGCTCGAGTGAGTTAACCAGCTTTTCCTCTCCCTTGTTCAGGCTTGCCGAAAACCACATTTTTTTCTCTCCTCCTGCTCAGCAAGTGTGAAATGTCTGCCTTGAGGCAGGAAACTAGCTCAGGGGGACCCTGGGAGGGTGGAGGTGTGGGCAGGAAATCCCCCACGATGGACCCCTGTTTGGAGTGGGGTGGGGGGCAGGAGGCCGGCCCCTCTTGGTGGCGCTCCAGGCCAGCGCCCCTTCCATTTTCCCTACAGTCGAGGAGAACCTTCCCAGACCAGCTCTGCCGTGAGCGCATTGGGTCTCACGCAGCTGCTTTCCTGCCTTGCTTTCTTGTTGTCTTAGATTATTAGACCTTCATCGTTTGGGGGTGAATGGAGAGACGCCACCGCCCAAGGGCTACGCCCAGATTTCCAGTTCTTGGGCCCAGAACGTTAGGGGAAGCTGCAGGATCAGGCCTTCCCTTACTGTTGTGTTCCCCCCCCTCCCGTGCTGTGTGCGGTAGGACATATGCAACGGGCTGCAAGGAGAGGGGAGAGAGATCCTTGTGGCGTAAGAGCAGTGTTGGTACGGGGCAGCATGTGTAGGGGTTGGAGCTTTGAGTTTGGACTTTGTGAATCCCAATCCGTGCCCCTCGTGAGCCTTGAAACTCTCTGGGTGACCTCAACCCGGTCGCCTTCTCTCCGACCGATCTACCTCACAGGGCTGCTGTGCCAACTAAGTGGTGAAAGAGGGAGAGCCAGTCGGCCACCTGCAGCTTACGGGAAGGAAAGTTTTGCAAAGTCTGTCGTCACGATGTCCCAGTGCTTTGGACGATTCCTTTTTTTGGGGGTGGGGGAGGAAATGAATTAGGAAAAGGCCACACAGATGCAAGGGTCAGGCAACACCTTTGTTAGACTTTTTTTGGGCGGGGGAAACTCTGAACACGGAGCGAGCTTTCGTGGGTCAAGCCCACTTCTGCAGGCCACGGGGCAGTAAACCTCAGAGGCGAGAGTCTCGGCCAGCGGCGGCAGGGGGTTGTGGCAGGTCTAGCTTCTGAAGAGGCGACTTCGAACTGTGGCTGCACGCAGCCTTTGGGTTGATGGTGGTTTCAAGCTTCACCCCGGCAGCCTTTGGCTGAAATCTCCCGCCCAGCTCTCCAAACAAAGGCCAGCCTTTGTGGGCGAGGGGAGAGGTACCTGTGGTTTCTTTGGCCACCTTTGTTTGGTGAGCGGGCTGGGAGAGCTGCCGAGGAAACCAAGAGCCGGGCTCCTGTTTCCCCGTTGCCAAGCGAGCCTCACTTAGAGATGGAAAGGAGGCTTCTCTTTCTTCCGCCTGCCCACCCGTCGTTTGGCGCTGACCGAGGGGTACCAGGGCGGATTTCAGAGGTCAGCCCATCCTTAGATCCTTGTCCACGTGGTGCCTCTTTCAAGGATGGATGAAGAGGAACCAGAAAAATGGAAGCCACTCTGTGTAACTGTTAGACCAGGGGTCTTAGCCTCATCTTGGAACCGGCGGGCTGGAAGGGACCCTCTGGGTCATTCATTTCAGTCCAGGGGATCCCGTGGGGGATTCGGAACTCCCAGTCCTCTGGCTCCACAGCCGGAGACCTTCTACACCCCTGAGCTGTTCAGGTCTCGTGACTTCGAAATCCCTTCTTCTTTCCTCTTTCTTGGGGGACAGAAGCGTGTCCTTCATAACTTCCTCCTTACCCCTAAGTTGACCTTCTGCTTGCAAGACGTGGGGGGGAATGACCCTGTCCTCCTTCCAGTGTGGAAGGAAGTGCCCTCTGGACCCCTGGATGGTCTTCCATCACATGGAATGGAGGACGGGGGTGCCTCAGGCAGCAAAAGCTTTTGAGTCAGCCTGCAACTCTAGCCCATGAGGACTTAAAAGGGTGGACAAGCTCGTTTTATTTCATAACAAAGGGGACATCGCTTATCATCAAGGCAGAACTACAGAGCTGGAAGGGACCCTAGTATAGAATGATCCTCAGGTCCTGCCCGTGGGTGAATAGGAAGGAGATCTGTCTGAAAATACAACGTTGGGGTGCTCTGCTCTTCTTGACACAGACTTTTTTTTGGTCAGTGCAGGGTTTGAGGAACGACGCTCTGCTCTTCTTGACACAACCAGACTTCTTTTTGGTCAGTGCAGGGTTTGAGGAACGATCATCCCGACAGCTTAAACTTTTCCAAATTCACTGATCAGCAGAAATCTGCCCTTAACCACCTACGCCTTACGACTTGGTGGGCTCTCGCTCAACGAGAGGCCTTTAAAGGGCTGATCCGCTGGAGACGGGAGGGCGAGGATTTGGTCAAGGCATAGCAGACGACGTTCTCCGGCAGTGAATTATTCAGCAGAAAAAATGCACTTCCTGGCTTGAAGGACACCCCAGGCCAGGGGGGGCTCTTTCTTGCATGTTTCCCCTCCTGTCGGGGAGGACCTTCCCAGGCTGGCTCTCCCGAAAGCAGATTGTGCGGCTAGCAGGAGAAAGGTTTGCAGTCGGCCCTGCATTCTGGCGCTGTTCTTAAAGCAGCTCCTGCTTTGCTTACTTACTGCGTTGACATCCATACATGAATAGCTGAAGAGTGAATGGAGATGCGCCACCGCCCGGAGACTACGCCCTGATCTTCAGTTCTTCGCTCAGAAGTGCAGAATGAGGCCATGGGGGATTGTGCGGCTAGCAGGAGAAAGGTTTGCAGTCGGCCCTGCATTCTGGCGCTGTTCTTAAAGCAGCTCCTGCTTTGCTTACTTACTGCGTTGACATCCATACATGAATAGCTGAAGAGTGAATGGAGATGCGCCACCGCCCGGAGACTACGCCCTGATCTTCAGTTCTTCGCTCAGAAGTGCAGAATGAGGCCATGGGGGAATCAGGTCTTATACATGAATAGCTTGAAGAGTGAATGGAGATGCACCACCGCCCGGGGACTACGCCCTGATCTTCAGTTCTTCACTCAGAAGTGCAGAATGAGGCCATGGGGGAATCAGGTCTTGCCATGTGACCAGGCCAAATTCATGCTGGTCGCTTCGATGACCCTGTCCAACCATCTCATCCTCGGTCATCCCCTTCTCTCCTCTTGCCGTCAACTTTCCTAACATAAAGGTCTTTTCCAGGGAGTCTTCTCTTCTCATGAGATGGCCAAAGTACTGGAGCCTCAGCTTCAGGATCTGTCCTTCCAGTGAGCGCTTAGGGTTGATTTCCTTCAAAACGGATAGATTTGTTCGTTGTCTGTACCTTATTGGAAAGAAGGGAGGAAATGAATCCAGCAAATAAATATGGAAAACATTTTACCATGTTGCGAGAGCTATAGAATCATTTTGTCAAACTGAGGATGGCGTGTCTATATATTCCAGGCCTTGGAAATGTCACTTTTGCTCATGAAGACGGCCAATATCCTGTGGTCAGCGCAGCTAGAGTATTTTGAAAGCGGTTGTCTGAAAATTGTAATTTTTTTTAGCTCTGCACTCCTCGTCCTCCACGAAAATATGAGCACACAAGAGCGCAAGGCGGCCTTTCAGCACGGATGCGGCTTTCGGCAATTTGCAGCCCAAATTGTCAACGTTTGTGTGAGTTGCATTGATCCAGGCGGCCTATTCTGTCTGGGATTTGGGATTCGATTGAGGCCCCAGTGTGTTTGGGAAGGGGTGCCTCTGAATTTCTTCTCTTCCCCCACCCTGCTTTCACTTTTAAGAATTTGTTACTGGACTGCAAAACAAGCATATAAAGCAAAACCAAATGTTATTGGAGAATTTGGCTTGAGGGTCAGGAGCGAAGCAGCAGAGTGACTCACAAGAGTTCTCCAAAGACAATAAATTCCCTTGTGCCAAATACCTTCTTCAGCCAACCGGCCCATGGTACACATCTGAGCATCAGCGGTTGGCCGGTGTACAAATAAAACAGACTACGTAATTGGAAGGTGGAGAAGCTCTGATCTCTTTGCAAACATAAGACCAGAAGTGGGCTGAGTTACTAATTAATGAGCTGTTTTATCAAAAATTACGGTGATGCTAAGGAAGAATGCCTAGTGCCCTAGTCTAATTTAAATAACATTTGTGGTGAACAGAGGGGGAAATGGATTCATTTGAAACGTGGCGCCGGAGGATCTATGGACTTCTGGAAAGATCTTTTTGAAGGGACTTGCTAGATCACATCAAGCAGCCTGAAGTCTCTCTGGAAGCAAAAAAATTGAATAATCAGAAGCTCTCGTACATTGGGCATGTTGTGAAAAGACGAGGCTGACGGGATGAGGCCATGCCGAGAAAAGCGGAAGGCTGCAGGAGGAGAGGAACGCATAACATGAGATGAATTGATTCTGTATAAGAAGCCATGGTCTTGGAAGAGTTCATTCATTCACAGGGCCTTCGTAAGCTGCTCAATGACACAATATGTAGTCATTTGTTTTTAAGAGCAACTGAAAAATGTAGGTGGCCGTGGATGGACTACAACTCCCATCCGTCCAGCATTAATGGACAACGAGGGCTGTTGAGCGCTGCAGTCCGGGGTCTCTTTTTCCCACCCTGGATTTAACCCCACCGTGTTGTTTTTTTCCTACCATGGAAATGGCGATGGGGAGGGGTGGGAAGCTTCACCTGTTGGCCAGCTGCCTGGCCGGTGGCTGTTGATTCAGGAGCCAGCCTGGGTGTGGGGCGTCTGAGGAACCCACTCCCTTTTCTCCTTTCTGGAAGGGTGCCTTTGTATAGGAGTAAGAAAAGAAATAAAAGAGAAGGGCCTGATTGTATAGAGCTGGCTTGATATTTAATCCTACAGCATGTTTTCTTAGAACCGAAAAGCCCTCCTGAACAAATAACATTCCATCCTTTCTGTTTATATTGGCCGAGACTCTGGATTGTCATTATGACTTGTTATTTTCTCGTGGGTTTTTAACATCCAGCCCCCTCGAACCCCAGAACTGGGGGAAGGGTGTGCAGAAAGAGGAGGAGGAGAGAAGTCCCAGCTTTTTTCCTCTCGCTGTAGTAGACGGTTATTTGCACCCGTAGACTCTGCACCAAAATATTTTAAGTACGTGGCGTGGCTGGCCTATGCCTTTTCTACCATATTTCGTCCCGTGCCAGCCTGGCCCACTTCCTCGCCACTTTGTTCCATCTCCACTGATTCCCCTTCGGGCCCCACTGTTCTCCCCAGTGCCATGCTGGAAGCCTGCCCCGCTCAGATCGTTCCTTCCGGGCTGCATTTCGGGGTCTGTTAAAAACACGATGTTCGCCTCGGGATCCGGTCCCCCTTTTCTTCCGGGCCCATCCCTTTACCCCCACCCTACCCCTTCTGTGCGCAGGTGGGGCCGTCCTGTTGATGGAATAAGCGTGCTGGGCCCCTGAAGGTAGTATTATAGGATTAATATCGGTATTTGCAAGGACGAGCACGGGCAAGAACAGGGCGTGGAAGCGATCCCCTTTTTTTGGCAGACGGGACGAGTCAGAGAGAGGTGAGAAGAAGCCTCGCCTGGCAACGAAGCCTCTTCTTGACGCACTCTTAATGTTGCTTTGGAGCAGGGGGGTTCCCAACCTGGGGGTCCCCAGGTGTTCTTGGGGCGGCCGCTCCCAGAAATCCAGGTGAGCACGGCTAGTGGTGGAAGCTACTTCTGGGAGTTTTAGTCCGAGAACGTCGGGGTCCCAACCTTGACACACACAAACACACACAATTTAGCGCACTTAAGTCCTGCACTCCGTTTCCAGAAGTTCCCCCTCCCCTGTTGACCTCTAATGCAAGGACCCCCGAGGGAGAGCGGGTTGTGTGCGTTTGGACACAAGAAAAGTGTCATGATGATGGGGTGAGATGTACCCACAGGAAGCCGGCTTGTGCCCCGATTTAAGGCCGGCGGGGAAAGCCGAGATGGGCCGGCCACCGAGAGTTGGGAGATGCCAACTAGAAATCCAGAATTTTGCAAAGTCACCACCGCAGCCGGGCTGGGTTGTAGGAGGAATTAGCTGTGCTCCGTGGGAGGATTTGAACTGGGAGCCTGGCGTTTTGCAGAGTCATCCCGCCCACGCTTGCTCAAGGGTGGCGGTCCAGGCGGGGGGCCACGGGACCGAAGCCCTGCCCGTGGCTTCTGTGGCGAGGTCTCTGTGGGACTTCTGAACTCTGCCGAGTCACCCCTCCCACTCCCTTTCAATTGAGGGCTGGAACTGGGTTGGGCCCTAGGAAGGGGGGGGAAGAGGCCGGTGGTGGGGAGGCCAGGTTTTGATTGGAGGACCCAAACTTTGCTGAGTCACCTCCAGCACCCCTGGCGAGTATATAGAGAAATCTGGGCTTCACCCGAGCCCATCGTAAGAGATTCCCCAAGTGGAAGCACACCGCTTTTTGGGATTTTATCTCTACGACTTCTGCAGGTACGTAGCTGAAGCTGGACAGAGCCGGAGGAGCTGTCCAGAGGGTAGGAGCCGCAGGGCAGGATCTAGAGTCATTAAGGCTCTCGCCCTGGGCACGACTCTTCTAAGGCACAACTGGCAAGCGGTTAGCAGGAGAAACGAGAGCAGGCAGAACGCACCGTCAGCCGGCGAGGGTTCCCAGAGATTGGCGACGGACGGCTCGCAGATCAGCCTCTGCAAGAGCCGTGCAATGCCTTTGGGGCGTCCAGATGTGCGGGTGCCCTAAGAACGCCGAGCCGGGCTGCACGGCGCATCCGTGGCTAGGGCTGGCACCTCCACCTCGACTTCTAGGGTTGTGTTTTGATGGTGTTGCCGGGAAAGTAAACCAAGAGATCTTTTGTTTAGTCCTGAGCTTGGCAGGGGTTGGGGGGAAAAATTGACTTTTTAATTTACTTATTTAGGGGGTGGGTGGGAAGAAGGCTTTGGACATCAGCTCTCCAGACCCCACATGTCGCTTAGGCATGTTGGATTGATTTGAATGTGTGGGGCGGGAGGGAAGAGGGAAAAGATGCAACTATTCCATTTTGGGACGTGTGGCGCTGGAAATGGTGCAGACGAATTAAGGAGGCCGTCTTCTGGTTTGTAATCTAAATGCCAGATTTCTGACAAATCTTGCAGAGTCGAAAAGAGTGGCTAAGATACACATAGATGACAGGGGATTTGAAAACCACCAGCCTCTGAATCGTGTCGGTGTTCCCAGACCCATTGAATCAGTGGGATTTGCAGGGGCATTAGCTTACCTGCTCAGCAGTTGGATGCTGTGGGTCTCCTCTGAACCAGGACTGCCAGCTGGATTTAGGAATCAAAACCAGCTCTTGTGGCGTCCAGGGGCTGGAAAAAGGGAGGGCTAACAGCATTGGCCCTCCCGGCGTCGTGAGATGGCAGAGCTACCAGTGGGACGGTTCCTTCTGCTGAATAGTTTTCAAAAGAGGATGAAGCCTTGTTTGACCCCATGGCATCGAATGCCCATGGAGCATTTGGCACAATCACCTCATATGCGCCTCCTGCCCAAGCCGGGTGTCCGGCGGGGAACCCCAAAAGCTGCAATTTTACCTCCAACCCCCAACCGTAAAATTGCAGAACACCTCGAGGGGTTCCATAGGAAACAACAGGGCTTCATTTCCCATGGCCCCCTTTTCGGGGAGTGTGACTTCCCAAGGGACCTTCTGCTTCATGTTGCCCAATGTTTTGCCCCAATCCTTTTTGTTTCAGGCAATGAGAACCGAAGCACAAGAGAAAGGTGTGGGTTGCTTTGTGTGGGTGTGTGGTTCCTCCCCCCCCCCTTCAGCTCTCCTGGCGTAACCTTTACGAATCGCGAACCCTTTCGGGGCCTCTGGGTGGTTTTCTCTTGACAGAAAGGGTGTGCTCCTTGGGATCACGTTGCTGGCAGGTTTGAAGAAAACAGACCTCCGGAGAGGGTGTGAGTTGGCCCCAGGCATTGGCAGCGCTATGAGGGTTTGATGGACTCAGTGACAGGTTTGGGGGGGGGAAATGACACCCCACCCTTGGCACCGGTTGTCGGCTCCACCCCGTGCGCTGGGGAAAGACTTGCCCTTTCGCTCTACATGTTGTCCACTGCCTGTTTATGCGCTCAGCACAAAGCCCTCTTTGACGGGGGGCCGCCCGAGGTCCGAGCACGGCTGTGCAGGAGGAGGAGGAGAGCTGAGTTTTCTGGAGGCGTCTCCCGGGGTGACCGTTTTTTATCTCGCCCGCAGCCTTCGAGGAGCCATGGAGCACATCAAGAAAACTGTGGATCGGGCCCGGGCGGCTTTCAACACTGGCAAGACACGCCCTGTGGCCTTCCGGATCAATCAGCTGAAGGCCGTGAAGAGGATGATGGAGGAGAGAGAGCATGAATTATTTGCTGCCCTCAAGAAAGATCTCCATAGGGTCAGCTTCCCTTGGTTGTGTTTCCCCGGGCGGGCGGGATCAGGCCTGTGCCTGGTGTGGAGAAAGGATGGAAGCCTAGCGCCCCGTTTACATCAGGATCATGGGGAAAATCCGTTACTTTGGCCTAATGGCATCCCTGGGGCAGAAAATTGGTGCGAGACCTTGGCAGGATCCACGGGAAAATCTGAGGTCCTGCCTTGGTGGAATCCATGGGGAAATGAGGGAGCTTTCCCTTGGTGGCCTGGAAATTCCCTGAGCTCCCTGGGAGACAGGAGACCAGAGTTCTCCATCTGGGAAAATCTTTAGCTGGAGGGTCCCTGGGAAAATCTTTAGCTGGAGGGTCTCTAGGAAAATCTTTAGCTGGAGGGTCTCTGGGAAAATCTTTGGCGGGAGGGTCCCTGGGAAAATCTTTGGCGGGAGGGTCCCTGGGAAAATCTTTAGCTGGAGGGTCCCTGGGAAAATCTTTAGCTGGAGGGTCCCTGGGAAAATCTTTAGCTGGAGGGTCGCTAGGAAAACCTTTAGCTGGAGGGTCTGTGGGAAAATCTTTGGCGGGAGGGTCCCTGGGAAAATCTTTGGCGGGAGGGTCCCTGGGAAAATCTTTAGCTGGAGGGTCCCTGGGAAAATCTTTGGCTGGAGAGTCCCTGGGAAAATCTTTAGCTGGAGGGTCCCTGGGAAAACCTGTAGCTCCCCTTAATACATTGCAGTAACAAGCCCAGACAGCATTAGCAGAGCTTTGATCTGAACCTGCAGTGTTGCTAATTTCCTGAAGACTAATCTCCTGAGTTCCCCGACAGAGCGACTACACCAGCTACGCTCTGGAGATGGCGCACCTGCTACTGGAGATTGACCAGATGGTGGAGAAGGTCCCTGAGTGGGCGGCCCCTGAGCATGTGCCGAAGACCCCCGCCACCCATGCTGACGAGACCTACATCGTCTATGAGCCCCTGGGGGTGGTTTTGGTGATCGGGGCTTGGAACTACCCAATCATCCTGGCTTTGCAGCCCATGATCGGGGCCATTGTGGCAGGTAAGGCGGTCGAGAGCTCATCCCTTCGCTCAGAACTGGCTGGAAAGGACCCTTTTCTGGTTCTGGGTTCTGATTCTGGGAGGGGCTCGGCAGGATGGAAGTGCGGGTTCCCGGCATAGTATCTACTCAGGAGCAAGATGTAGAATGGACGTACCTTCTTCCTTAAGTATGCAAGGTCGCTTTCCATAAATTGGTACTCTGGCAAAACATCTGTCATAGCCGGCCAGCCTAGTGAGGTGCCGGCTGGGGGATGATGGACGTCATAGTCCAACAGAACAGGCTGCCTGCTTAGGCTGTAGAACAACTTGTCTGAATGTGCCCGGGTTTGTTCACCCCTCATTAGTTATGGCATGATTAGGCCAAGAGTATCTGTAGATGTGGAAACTCTTAAATGCCCACCGCTTAGTTTTAGGGTTATGTGAATCGGATTACCCTGAGCATTTAGGGGACAGTTCTTTGGGGGGGGGGAAATGTCAAGCTCCCACCACCACCTCCTTCAGCGGCCGTGATGTCTGTTCGTCATGATGAACCCTGTCCTTTGCACGCGTCTTCGTTTGTTTCAGGGAATGCCTGCGTGATCAAGCCCTCAGAGATCAGCGAACATACCGGCCGGCTGTTGGCAGAGATCATCCCCCATTATCTTGACAAGGTAGGGAGTCTACCCCCATGGCACCATAGAGTTAGGGGAACCCCCAAGGGCCGTGTAGTCCAACCCCCCCCCATCCTTTCAGATAGTCCCGATTGGCTACTTGCATTCCTACTTCACAAGAAACTATGGTCTTCATTGTTGAGCCCACCTCTGCTGACATACCACGGTTTATGGATCAGCCACGGTTGGGACTCGTGGTTCGTGCTTGACTTGGGAAATCTGGGCTTGTTCAGAACGTGGCTTGTCTTAACGCCCACACTCACCATGGTGGCTTGTCCCTGGCTTGTTTCTCCGCCTGATGACCAAAGGCGGGGCTGAAGAAGCAGGGCCAGAAATGCTCAGAGCAAGCCGGATGGTTGGTGGGGGTTCGCTTCCTTATGGTGGCATCGGGTGGCTCAAGCCACAAAAGGAAAACATGATTATCCTAGCAAGGAGCCGTCTGGATTCAGAACTACAGGGGTGTGGGGGATGTGTCTTACCTGGGATTACCAGACTGTGCCAAGTCTTTGCAAGCATTTAAAAAAAATTTAAGGAGCTAAGCAGAACAGGAGATGACCATTTCCCACCTGAGATGATGAGCTTGCTTGCTCGGTGTCTCTCTCTCTCTCTCTCTCTCTCACACACACACACACTGGTCTCTCTTGATTCCCCAGGAGCTCTACCCGGTCATCACCGGGGGCGTCCCGGAGACCACGGAGCTGCTCAAGCAGCGCTTTGACCACATCCTCTACACCGGCAACTCTGCGGTGGGCCGGATCGTTATGGAGGCCGCGGCGAAGCACCTGACGCCGGTGACGCTGGAGCTCGGAGGAAAGAGCCCCTGTTACATCGACAAAGACTGCGACCTGGAAGTCGCCTGCCGGTAAGACGCCGGGCGAACGTCGCAGAACACTGGGGAGCGAGGCTCTCTTTCCCTCTCTCACTGCTGGCTTTTAGACGGCTGCTAACGTCGTATTCTTTTTCCTTCTTTACTTATCTCTCTGTTGTCTTGAATCCCCTTGATATCCTGGTTAAAATAGACCCGTTGAATCAGGGTGCGAATTTATTCTTGCCGAGAACTGGTGGCTGTTTAGTGTGTGTGGATTACAAGTCCCATCATCCTATCGCCAAATAAATAAAGAAACCAGAAAGGGGCCCATTCCAGTATTGAGGAAAAAAATAACTGCTCTTTTTTTCTCTCCTCTGCCCTCCTCATCCTTTTTTCCTTTACTGCTGTGTCCTTCTAGAAGACAGTAAACCACCGGACATGGTTTTTATCTCTCTTTTTTCCCCCAATGATTTTTCTTCCCTGCTTCCCACTTACGTTGCTCCGGAGTCTTTTGGTTCCGTTTTGAAGAGAGCAAAAAGATCCTGTATGTAAATAAGTCATAAAAAACACCCCCCCTTTTTTTCCTCAGACGTCTCACTTGGGGCAAATTTGTGAACGCTGGCCAGACCTGCATCGCTCCAGACTATGTGCTGTGCGAACCGTCCCTCCAGCATAAAATTGTGGAGCTTGTGAAAAAGACACTGAAGGTGAGCAGGCCTTTCCCCCGCCTTGATTGCGAAAAGGCCTCCATCGATAGGAGGAAGAACTTCTGGCCCTCCAAATATTTGGGACAACAGTTCCCATCCTCCTTTGCTGGTGGGCATTGCAAGCAGGGTGTTGGAGTTAGCATCCAAAATATCTCGAGGACCTTCCTTTCATTTCAGTTCTCTTTAATCAAGCAAACTGACTTTTTTTAAAAAAATGAATAAAATTATTTATAAGCCTGCCTCTAACCAGGCAACCGGCTAACCTACCCCATAGGGTTGTCGTGGTTGCTTAAATATCAGTCGCTCTTTCCTGGTGGCTTTGGTCTTCGGCTTCCCAGATCCCTGACCGTCGGCCAAGGTGGCTGGGGTTTTTGGGGAGAGGATGTCCCCCCCCCAACATCTTCAGAGTCAAAGGTTGAGAACCCTCCCGAGTTCCAGAAACAAGCTTCTCGTCCTGATTGAACCTGGCCGGTGTCGCTCACTTGGGTGATTTTGCAGGAGTTTTACGGCGAGGATCCAAAGAAGTCCAGCGACTATGAGAGGATCGTGAGCAAGCGGCATTTCAAGAGGCTGATGGGCCTCCTGGAAGGGCAGAAGATCGCGATTGGAGGACAGGCGGATGAAAGCGAAAACTACATCGGTAAGGCGGGGGATGACATGGAGTTGTTTTTTTTCACTGAATACATAACATTTTGTGTCTTTTTAAAAACCCACATACTGCTTCCTTGCTTTTAAGGAGCACAAAGAAACTGGTTTTATTTTATTTTTGCATGGTGTGTGGGGTGGGGATAGAAGTTCCAGGCTTGTCTCCAAGGTGTGTGTTTTCCCACTCTTATTGAAAACTGAAGCACCACGCACAAGGTATTTCGGGGTTATTTTAAAAGAAATATATATTTTTCAACTATTGAGCTCTTCATCCCACGCTGGGTCCTGGGGCAAAAGAGGGGGTCCCCAGAGACCTGGATCATGCCCGGAAAAAGCGCAGAGAATTGACAAGGGAATTTCTTAACCCAAACGCTCCGTCTTTTAAGGCTTCATCTCGGTGATGCCCCTCTGTTTCTTTCCCTCCCAGCTCCCACCGTACTGGTCGACGTCAACCCGAACTCCAAGGTCATGCAGGAGGAAATATTTGGCCCCATCATGCCCATCATCACCGTAAAAAACCTGGAGGAAGCCATTCATTTCATCAACGAGAGGGAGAAGCCGCTCGCTCTTTATGTGTTTGCCAAGGACAAGAAGGTAAGACCGCAAGGGTGACCTCCTGGATCCGACCTTCTTAGAAACATCAAATTGTAAATTTTGAACCCTCCTATATATTTCGGAGGCAGCCTCTGGGGGCCCCTTGATACTCTCCAAAATATTTGTAAATTAAAAATAAAAAGCAGAAGGGGATGTTATTCAAGAACTCTTTATGGACGTCTTCGATGGCACTATTTTTTTTTTAATTTTCAATCCTATAACACCGGTTGACTTACAAAGGAAGCACGAGAGTCTAACATACATTTTTAATTCATTTCCACCAGCCTCGGGACGAATTTATTTACTTACTTCACTTTATGTTTTGGAACTGCTTCATTTCTCTCCAGAGATGTGATGGTTCCTATCCGGGGTTGGGGGTGGGGGAACCTTTCCCTTTCTCAAACATACATGCCAAAAATAAATTCCAGATTTCTTTGAAATCATTTCTACTCAGTATTCCTTTCCTCGTCTTGGTTTCACAAATGAGTTTATCACCATATTCCGCACGTCTTTATTCCATTCCTCCATTATTTGCATTGATTCGTCTTCTTCCAATTCTTTGCAAATATCGACCTTGCTAATTAATATTCTGAGAATGCTGATGGGGAAGGGGGGGTGGGGTTCAGATAAAATATGTCGGGAAAGTGGCCGTCTTTAGCACTGATTTGTTGAATTAAGGAAGGATGTAGCCATTGAAGGTTATTTAAGTTATGCTATTACATTAACACACCGGACCCAAAATGGCAATAACAGACCGGGCGCAAAGTAGCTTTTGCAGAACAAGGAATCAAACTCTATTCTTCTTACTGTCTCAGCAGTAAATTAAAAGAAGATTTGAATGGGTTTATTTATTTATTTATTTATTTATTTATTTATTTATTTATTTATTTATTTATTTATTTATTTATTTATTTATTTATTTATTTATTTATTTATTTATTTGATTTTTACCCCGCCCCTCTAGACAACGTCTACTTGTTCACCTCTCAGTGCCACAGATCATCAGAAAACATGACTGTTGTTGTTGTTTTTTCTCCTCCTCCTGTGTTTCTCGTTAACTAGATCATCGAAAAGATGATCTGCGAGACCACCAGTGGTGGCGTAACGGTCAACGATGTCATCATGCATGTGACTGTGGGCGGCTTCCCCTTCGGAGGGGTCGGTAAGTTGGCAGGTTTCTGGAAACGGGGTGGCTGGGGATTTGGGATATGAAGAGGCTTCTTCCTTGCCGGAAGGACATTCCAGCTAGAACAGATCGTGGGTTCGAATCCTCTGCCTCTTGCACAAACCCATTGGCTAGTTGTGAGGAACGTATTCCCCCTGCAGCCCTGCCTTACCGGGCTGTTTTGAAACCTGATGAGATAGTGTGCGGATTAACCTCTATAGGAAGCGAAGGCTCATAGCCAGCTCCGGTGAATTAAAACAGATTGACACTCTTTTTAAAATAAGGTAGACCGTTTCAGACAATGCACATTCATCCGCGTAACCAATAACAATATCTATATTTATAATGGACGTGATAAACCAGTGTCAGCTAATTAAGTTTTTGCACCCATTGTGTCTACTAACAATGAGCTTAAGTCCGGCTGTGTTGTCCCCATTAGAGTAGATCCATTCAATCAGTGGAATTTAGAAACCGATGGGCTTGGTTTATGTATTGTATGTTTATGTTTATGTTGTAGTTTAAGAAAAATAATCTTTTTTAAAAAAAACATAAATCGATGGGCCGAACGAGTCAATTTCCAGTGGTTTACTTCAGTCAGAATTCACAACTGGATTTAGCCTAGTATGTCGTATTAATATACGACAGAATTTCATTCTAATTGTAACATTAATTCCTTGAGGACTAGAAATTTTGTTTCTTCTAAGCCTGTTTGCGCAAGTTCTTTTCCCTGTGCCCTGCTTCGGTCTTTTGCTTCCCACTCTCCGGTTGACTCCGTTTAAACCTTGTGTCCTGTTGTTCCGCAGGTGAAAGCGGCATGGGCCACTACCACGGCCGCTACAGCTTTGACACCTTCTCCCACCATCGTGCCTGCCTGGTCCGGCCCCTGGGATCGGACGCGGCCAACGCCACCCGCTACCCGCCCGCCAACCAGAAGAAGTTCGACTTCATGCGGTCCTTGGCGGCTGCCAAGAAATAACTTCGCCCTCGACTTCACGCCGGCCCTGCCTTCCGGCTCCTGGAAAGGAAAAGTCAAGAAATGTAGGGAAAGGATCCCGAGACGTGGAAGAAATCAATATAATTGTACCGTTACAAACCTAAATAAATAAACCTTTTTTGCTCACTCTTTTAATTTCATGTACTGTATTTGTTTTGTTTTATTATTTATTGGAGGAGATATTGGGGAATTTTGTAGGAAAGCAGAGCGTGTGGGGGGGAGATATTTTAAACTTTTGGGGGGGAAACCCCTACTCTTTTCAGATGAAAATGTCCAGAATCACACAGCCCGTTTCCATGCTGTTTGCAGAATGTTTTTGTTTTTGTTTTTTAAAAAGAACTTTTCCAAGGCTCCGGGTGCGTGCTGTGTCTCCTCTCGCATGCCAGTCAGGCCTTACTAATGAGAGCCAAACGATTCATTATTGGTGGAGAAAAGAGGGAGACGGGGAGAGCAAAGAGGGTGAAACGTAGGAGGTGGGGGTTATCCCCCCCTCCTCCAAAACCTCCTTGAAGGGTGCAGGGGGGTCCCGTGAGCGCTAGATCCTTGATCCCCAAGGGGTTGCGGTGCCCCCTCTTCGGGCCTGACCCCAGAAAGGAGCCAGAAATAAACAGCAAGCTCCATCGCCAACGGGAGGCCCTGGCCTCAGGTGGCAGAGGATTTGGGGTGGGCAGCAGCTGCAGTGACTGTAACCGCTCCACCTCACTCCCCTGGCCTTCCCTTGCCGGCACCTTGGAGGAGAGAAACCTCTCCCGCCCAACATCCTCTTTACCACCCCTTACAGACGGATCCAGCCATTCGAAGACTGTTTGGGGCTCCTGTTTCTTTAGGAAATCAGGGTCCCTCTGTTGCTCCGAGGAGGAGGAGGATCGGCTTTTTCTCCCCTCCTGGAATGCAAGGGAGGGTTAGGGTCGGCTTTTTCCCCCTCCTGGAATGCAAGGGAGGGTTAGGGCCTCTTGGCCTCAGGCGGCCAAATCCGTGGGCTTGGCCCACAGCCCCAACCCTGCAGTTCCTGGTCCCTCCGGCTGCCAAACGACGGAGGGGGGTGGGTGGAAAATGGGATTCATGGCATGGCGGAGGTGGGGCCGTGCTCTGGCGCAGATCCCGGGCTCGACTGATCCAGAAACACCATATAAAGTTGCAGGGTTCGGTTGGCGCTTTGTATTTTGGGGTGCAAGCCCCTCTGTGAAAATTAAGCACCATCATCATCCTCTTAGAACAGCAGAGCTGAAAGGGATTCCTAGGGGTCACGGAGTCCAGCCCCTGTCCGTGAGGCCCGAGTGGGGGAATTGAACTCCCAACAAAAGCCATCTTTGGGGGCAGGAGGATTCTGGGCATTGTAGTCCAAAAACAGGTAACTTTTCCAAATTCTGTGTGGGAAGGAGGCAAACGAGGAAGGAGAGAGAGGCAGCCGGTAGCCTCCAAGACTAGAAATCATCAGAGCTACAAATAACAGCAGTATTAGGAACAGCAATTTATACTACGTGGACATTTGAGAGATATTTAGTTGTTTGTTTGTTTGTTTGGGACTAGAAATCACATCATCAGAGCTACAAATAGCAGCAATATTAGGAACAGCAATTTATACTACATGGATATTTGAGAGATATTTAAGGGTTTTTTTGGTCAAAATGTGTATTTGCTAGATAAATACCAGTCAATGGTTTTTATAGTTCTGATGGACTATGCGTGGTATTTTAAGAATAACAACAACTACAAGCGGTTGTTTTGCAAACCTTGAAAGTCCCGGCCCACCTGTTGTGTTATTTTTCTTCTCTTTTGCCTGGCCTACATGGCAGGGTCGTTGTGAGTACTGTGGCACCGATTCACCCTGGAGTTATTATTCGTTATTTGGAAGGGAAAAAAAGATTTACTAAACTGGGGGCACAAACACCACCCTAAACCCCACCACCCCCGGGCAGGCCTTACAGAGCTCGCTTTCCGAGTTCTGCTTTGGTCTCTCTGTGTCCTGGGTGTGGGTGCGTCTGTGTGTGTTTCCTTATTTTTAAGCTGCTGCATGCTTGCAATGAGAATATGGCACCTTTCTCGTCGTCAGGTCCTGGGCTCGGATCCAGATTCCGTGCGGTGGGAGACAGGCTGGCTCCGAAGGGCGGAGAAAAACACATTTGTTGTCCAAAGTCCACCCTGGGCGACCAGAGAGCTGCTGCAGGCGAGCAGGTAAAATCCATGCCCCCCCTTCCTTGGCTTAGGTTGCACGTAAGATATTCCCCCCCTCCTTAAACAAATTAGTTTAAGCATGCAGAGAAATTTGCACGTAAGATATCCCCCCTAAACAAATTAGTTTAAGCATGCAGAGAAAGGGAAAGGCATTGCATGTTTTTAGCATTAGAGAGTGGCATTTTGTGGGCAAAGTTGTTTATAAGTGTGTATGTATGTGTGTGAGAAAGAGCAGACCCCCTCAGGGAAACCTCGACTTTTCGAAGATCTGTGGTTGATCCTCCCCACCCCCCGAAAAAATCCCCAATTTTTCTGTGCTCAGTCTGTGATTTAAGCACTTACGCCCTGGATCGAAAGATTTTGCACGGGTAACTTTGGTGGAAGCACGCCAAACGAAGCTCTGGACCTCGTTAAAAAAAAGAGGAGAGAAGACCCAAAATCTCCGCCTCGGCTCCTGAGATGTTTTGATTCATCTTTCCGGAAACCGGTCCATCTGCTCGGGACGAGAAGAATAAGGAGCAAACGTATTTGTGCATTCAAAAGAATGGGCTGCGATCCAGGAAAAATGAATGCTGTATCACAACAGTAAGCTTTAAGGTGCCTTTAAGAAGCCTCCTGTTCAGACTTTCAGGGGGACCTTTGTTTCCCAGAAAAAACAAGACATTATTATAATTATAAGTGACTGGAACGCAAAATTAGGGAAGAAAGTAGAACCAAATGTTGCTGGAAAATTTGGCCTGAGGGGAAGAAACGAGGCAGGAGAATGTCTCGTGGGGTTCGGTGAAGCCAATGCTGTTGTTTATCAAAAAATAGATGCTTCAAGCAACCAAGCAGATGGCTGTACACGTGGACGTTGCCATATGGTCAGTTCCGAAATCAAATAGACTGCATAATCGGAAGCAGTCGACAGAGAAGCTCAATTCTCTCTGCCAAAACAAGACCAGAAGCAGTTTGTGGTATTGTTCGTGAACTGTTTATATCCAACATGGGAGTAAAGCTGTAAAAGAACCCTAAAAGAATCCTAATGCCAAAATATAATCTAATCAACATTGATTTTAAAGTCCCACATAAGGAACAGATTTGCATTATCAAACTCAATTGACTGTGAAACCGGTGGGTTGAAACCAGAAATAGGATTACGGGAAAATGAAAAAAGACCATTCCTGTAGTAAAAAGAAAATAAAAGCCTAGATGGATGACAGAAGAAACATTTAAAATTTCAAAGGACAGATGAAAAGCAAAAGTAAAACATGACAGGAGTCAGAACCCCAAATGCAGTTTTTCAGGTAGACACAAAGAGAACTAAATAACTAGGACAAAGAAATAGAGGAGAACAACAAAAGGGAAAAACAAGATATTTTCCAGAAGATCCAAGATATCAAAGGGAAATGGAAGCCTAGATTAGGAATTCTGAATGACCAACAGGGAAGCACATTGTGACTAGGAGAACATAAAGAGAAGGTGGAAACAGTATACCAAATACCAATATTTTTTAATATTTATTCTATAGTGTATTTATTGCATACTATATTGTAAACTGCCCAGAGAGTGGCAACACTAATGAGGTAGAATAGAAATGGAAATGAACAAATATACAGAAGAGATAAAAGGATGTCAGACTCCTTTGAAGAGGAATCGTGTGATGATGAACCTGCAGTTCTAGAAAGTGAAGTGAAAGCTGCTCTTAGGAAGAAATAAATCACCAGGGAAAGCAGCAATGACTGGAAATGCTTTAAGGAAAGTGAAAGAAGAAAGTTACAAAGCAGGATTGCTGCTGAAAATTAAAAAGGCATAAATCATGACTATAGAACTACACGATTTTAATGTCGACTGTGAAGAAATTGAAACACTGTACTGACAGGTTTTGTATTCCTTGGTTCGATCGTCCTTCCAGATGGAGACTTCAGCCAAGAAATTGGAAGGCGGAGACTCAGAACAGCGGCAGTGAAGGACTTTGAAAAGATTATCAAGTGTAAGGGTGTGTTGTTGGAGACCAAAATCAAGATAATCCACACTCTTGTATTTCCAGTCACCATGTATGGGTGTGAAAGGTGGACAGTGAAGAAAGCTGACAGGGGGGAAAAATGGATTAATTAGAAATGCGGTGCTGGAGAAGAGCTTTGTGGATGCCCGGAATGGCCAGAAAGATGATTAAGTGGTTTTTAGACCTGAACAGAAATGGGCAGAAATGACAAAACGGAGGCAGGCCACTTAGACCTGAACACTCTCTTAGGGCAGAAATGACAAAACGGAGGCAGGCCAGATCTCTTTAAGAATTAAGGCCCTTGATTATTCTGTTCACCCATGGAAACAAGAACATACTGAATAAACAAACGAAGCAGCCTGCATTAATTGAGGAAATATGTGTGCGGAATAAGTTTATGAAAACACACACACGTTGGAACGCTTTCGGATTGCAATTATTCGCTTGGAACAATGAACAAACCATCTGGCTCAGCCCGTTCGTTCCCCTCTTTTGAACCTGCCTGCCTTGAGGCGGAGGCGGAGGGGAGGGGGGGTCAAGCACGGTCCTCCAGATGTTGCCGGAGTGCAAACCCCATCTGCCCCAGCGAGCGTAACTCACGGCGCAGGATACTGGGTGTTGTAGTCCTCTATGACATGGAGGGCTGCATTTTGCTTTTACCCCAGTGGGTGAAGGAAGTTGGATTGCTTCCCTAAATGCAAAATTCCCTTAAGCCGGGCATGAAACAGAACATGCAAAACAGTCCCCAGACCCCACTGGCTGGGGATTCTGGGTGTTGTAGTCGGAACATGGAAAACAGTCCCCGGACCCCACTGCCTGGGGATTCTGGGTGTTGTAGTCCAAAAGAGCATCAGATCTCTGTAGTAAAAAATTTCCCCTGTGAGATGTTTGCCATTCAGCTGTAAAAGATGTCCCTGCTAGATATCTACCTAATAGTTCACCTGTTTTTCAAGACTAGGGCTGGGTGCGAAATTTACCCGTATTGTATCATCCTTTTTCCCCCAGGAGAGTGCATTGGTGTAGAAGTGAAAAAAAAAAGAGCAAGGGAGGAAAAATGTGAATTTTGCCTCTAGTCTAGGAGGTATCTGAATTGACAGTGTGTGTGTTTTTTTTTAAGAATTAAAATCCCCACTGAACAAACAACATTCCTCCATCTGGGTTTGCACTGGCAGCCGCTCGGTGATTTAAATCAGATTTTGAGATTTGATCTCGGCTTCTCTGCCAGGCACCTCGGGGGCCTGGGTTTTTGAAGGGGGTGGGAAGGCCGAGGCACATTGAACGAATAAATCCAGATCCATGGGGCTTCCTGCCGAGTTGCTCCCAAGAGAGGCAGTGTGAGATAGTGGTTACAGTGTTGAATTGGAGGCGGGAAATCCAGGGGCTGTTGTAGTTGTTAGGTGTAACCAAATTACTTCCAATTTAGAGCATGTTAATCAGCGAATTCTCCCCCCCCCCCCAAGGTTGGGTTTTCGACACTCCTCTTCAGGTTTTGCCATCTCAAATGTTGTGGTTTCTTGTATAGTGTCAATCCATCTCACATTAGCTCTTCCTCTTTTCCTACTGCCTCTTATTTTCCCCTGGATCATTGCCTTAAATCAAACTTAACCAGTCAAAGTCAGGGTACAGGATCGCTGCTTGACACCAAAAATCCCATACATGCTTTGACTTTTAAAACGATTTTTATTGTGTTATAACTGTCGTGACTCCTAACTAGCACAAGATAATCTCCCCAGTGGCCAACCTTCAGTTTGGCAGCCCGTGGGATTTACTCCATACATGATTTGATTTTTAAAACAATTTTTATTGTGTTTAACTGTCCTGACTCCTAATTAGCACAAGATAATCTCCCCAGTGGCCAAACTTCAGTTTGGCAGCCCGTGGGATTTACTCCCAAGGAAGTCTCTGGTCAAGCTGGCCTGAAAAGAGTGGTTTCCTGTGCGTATTTACTTACGAGTAAGCCCCCAAGGCAGTCAGTGAGGACCTACCCGTGAGTAGGCATGCCTTGATCGGGCCTCTGCTGGCCATTGAACGTCTCTTTTTCTATTTAATTGCACTTAATTGCAATTTAATGTTTTTTTAAAAACTTTAATTGTAATCCATTGTAATTTGTTTTTTTTTTCCAGTTTAATCGCCATTAATTGTAATTTAATTTAACTCGATTTTTTAAAAAAAGTGAACATATTTTTTCCCTTCTTCAGATCCAAGCCCTGAATGTTTAAATGAGAATTATTTGTGGCACGATTTGCGGTTTTTTTTAAAAAAATCCGCTGTGCGGATTTGAATATTCATAGAGGGGCGGGGCCAGAGAAGGGGCGGGGCCCGCGGGATCACAACAAAGCCACGTGCTCGGGAGAGGCGGGGCTTTCCCGGGACCGGAAGGAACGGCTCTGGCTGGTCACGTGACTGGAAGTGGTTTGCGGAAAAGACTGGAGAGACGCGCGGGTGGGTGGTGGCGCCGTTCAGACGGGACGCGTAAGTGGAAATACGGGTTTGGGGGGCTCAAAAAGAGAGGTTAGGAGAGCTGATGAAGAAATGGAGGCAGAAATTCACCAGGTGCAGCATTTTCCTAAGCTGGGAGTCAGCATCTAAAGGGGGAAGCTGTACCAGTTGGATTTCTGCCTGGTTTGCAGGGGCTTCAGGGCTTTTGAGGACCTGGAGTGGTGTTTGGGGGAGGGGGGCGGCTCTCCCTGTTGAGTTTCTGCCTGTTTTGAAGGTCTTTCTGGCAAGGAGGTGGCATAGAGGAGCAAAACCGCCCCAGTTTTATTTCGGCCTGGCATGTCAATGCTGAAAAGCATTTGCTGGCCTAGATCGGTGAGATTTCTGCCTGGCACCCGAGCAGAATTGCAGAATTGGAGGGCCATGGCGCATTATTGTTACCTGGGTGTGAAATCCGCACCATGTAGTTGAGTATTCCATTCCGTGCCAGCATGCCAGCCATGTCCTTTACCTGGACACTCCATTCTGTCGCCCCGTCATCATCATCATCATCATCATTTCCCTCTTTAGCTGCTGCTCTGTGCTTCCTGGACCCATCCATAGAATCCCGGAGTTGGAAGGGGCCTGCCTCTAAGGCCATCAAGTCCAACCCCCTGCTCAATTCAGTCATCATCCTCCCAAAGTTTTGGGTGCGATGTCTCCCTTTGGGATCCTTTTTCAACTCCTGCAAATCTCAGTGTGTTTGTGAGCCTATATTCACACTCTCTGGCCACCCTGCCTGTTTTTTTTTTCTGTTTGCAGGCGGAGTCGTTTTATTCTTATACGCCTTGGCACCCCCAAGACTGGAAGGCTGGATTAACGGATTAACCACAGGTAAGTACTAGCATGGGCAGGAGGGGTGGGGAAGGCTGTGGTACAGTTTTGACAGGCAAAACATGTCATTCCCTGTTGAGAAAATAATAACAATCAACCTGGTCCTGCCGATTGTTCCCTCTTGTATAGTAAGTAAAAGCAACTCAAATCTTAACACTCTCCTTCCTGTGGCTGAAGGGAACTCCTAACCAGAGCAGCGGGATGAATATGGAGCCTCACAAGGCAATGGCCATGTGCCGTGTGTGGTTCTGCCCCAAAGGTGTTGGAAGATAGGAATCCTCCAAAGGTTGGCTGGGAAATTAAATATCTGGTGGCCACCAAGAATTCTAAGATTTTTAATGGGGCATTTCATGCAGGACGTTGCCGAGTCGCACCCCCGGGTGGGCGTATAATTCAAGCCGGGCTAGGCCTGAGCTTGTGGGAAGGAAATTTTTCCAGTTCTTGCAGAGCAGGTTTGGGGAATGGTATTGCGTCGGAGGGAAGAGCTGCCGGTTGCAGCTGTGGCGAGTTCTAATCCCGGAGGCCTCCCTCCCAGTCCCTGGCCTGGGCCGCGGGAGAGAAAAACTGCCTTTTTCTTGCCGTCGGAGGTGCCGACTGGAAGCGTGGAGAGCTGTTGGTGCATCCTTGCATGAGCTGAAGGTGGGCCACAGATGGGGGGGGAGCAAGAGATAGGCCACAGATCCTTCACAGTGATGATGATGCTGCTGGCCATCGGGAGTGTGCAGATGCACTGATGTCCTGGTTATAAAAAGAGGGGAGGGGAGTTCCGGCTTGCTCTTCTATCTCCGGTCAAAGGTTAAGATTTACCTTATTTTGCTATAGCTGGTTAAAAAACAAAAAACAAACCAGAGATTCTGTTTTCCCCCCAGACCTTGGAAAAGTTACATTTTGGAGTCCAAGGGCCCAGAATCCCCTAAGCCCCACATCCTGGGAATTGTAGTCCAGGAACACACACCCCATCCTTGAATGCCCCCCCATCTCAGGGGTGGGGTAGAATACACAACTGGAGTGGGAAGACCTGGCAGTAGAAAGAGGGTCAGCCGATTAAGAGGGTCAGAACACCTTCTGAGCATGTTCCTCCTCCTCCTCGTTTAGGGTCCATTGGCTAGGTTTCGTAATTCTCTTAATTTTTATTGGTTTGTTTGTGTTTATTAATATCTCTTTCAGCTTGCTGGTAACGGTACGAGTGGGATAGTATCTAAAATTTAAAAATAAAGAAATAGGACCTTTAGAAGCTGGAGGAGAGGTTAGGGCGATCGGCTTTGCGACAGGGGATTCAAAACCAGTTACAGATTTAGTGATTCAAAGCAGCTGGTGCCCCTAAAAGAGAGTAGACCCATTGAGCGGGTTGGGCTTTACACAAAGGTCAGCTTGATCCTCAGGGGCAGATTCAGGAGCTCTGCTCCAAACTGGGACGACTGATTGGATTTAAGCTTCGAATTGAACGGCGTGCAGGGCTCCACGGAGCTTTGTCGAAGAGTGTCGTGTGACGCTGAGGGAGGGCTTTTTGGCTCGAACGGCCGGCGCCTCCTTGTCTGATCTCGCTGTCGAAGGGGGAATCAGATCGCCCCGGGGGGGGTACTTCCAGCGCCCCACCCCAGACATTGGTTCTAAGAGACTGCTCGGAATATTGCATCGAAAGCTACCAATAAATATATGCGAACTAAGCCAATTCCATTTCCCTAAACCTCCCGTTTGGCAGGCGTCCTTCCCCCGGGGCATCCCCAAAGGATTGCAGGTGAATGTATGCCAACGAACAGGCAAGAGCGAAAACCTTGTTTATCAAGCTTTACCTGGTGAAAGGTTTCAAATATCTTATCTTTTTCTGGGCTTGAAGGTGGCCTGGAAAACCGGTTCGAACTAGATTCAGGGTGTGCCCCTTGGAACCGTATCGCCACCAGTGCTTAAGAACACAAGACTCCGTGGGGTGGACGTGTGGAGGGATTGAATTGCAACTGTGTGCCCCCCCAACAAACCTGCACCCTTGGGGAGAGGGTTGCTGATTCTCCGAAGCGCCCCAGGCAAAAACCTGGTGGGATCCCTTCCAAAATGTAAGACCGAGGTCCGCCGCTCATCTGGGTCCCTGGGAAGTTACGATCCTGGGGCTTTCCCTCTTGCTTTTACTCAAGACTGGTTACGGTTAGGGAATGAATGAAGAGCAACTTAAACGACACATACGCACACTGTGGGGCCAGGGTTGAAAAGGCCAGAACGAGGCAGGGACGTTGGGTTTATTGACGATCGCTCTAAGACTCGTTGATCGAGCCTCGTGGGGCAGTCGTTAAACGCAGTCCAAACTCTGCTGGCAACCTGGATTCAATCCCAGGGAGCCGGCTCAAGGTTCACAGTGGGGCTGGTCTGTAAGCTTTGCTTTTTGCTTTACCTGGTACTGCAGCCTTTGAAGAGCCATGGAGCACATCAAGAAGACCGTGGATCAGGCCCGGGCGGCTTTCGACACGGGCAAGACGCGCCCCTTGGCTTTCCGGATCCAGCAGCTGAAAGCCCTGAAGAGGATGGTGCAGGAGAGGGAGGAGGATATTAAATCTGCCCTCAGGAAAGATCTCAACAAGGTCGGCCTCTTTCTGTTTTACTTTTTTTAAGCTAGGCATCGATGCAGATTCTGGAATGTGGTGGCAGGAACGTTGCCTGCTCAGACCTGTGGCTTTTGCTGGGTCGGGTCCCTGGGAAATCTGGGGGTGTCCCTGGGAAAACGGGATACCCTGTTTCCCTTCCCTCCGAGGGATCCTTCTGGGAAATCCTTAAGCCGAATCTTTCTCCCAGAACGGTCCCTCGGAAAATCTGCGCCCTGGGCTTTTCCTTGAGCGGCTTGTGCACCACGGCAAGCCGGTTGTGAGTTTTGCAGCAGTGGGGCCAGGACACCCACCTTCCTAAGGGCCTTTGAGGCGATCCGCCCTGGCGCTCGCCATAAAGCTGCGGCTGTGAAGGCTAAACGCCCGCGCTCTCCTCCTTGCTCTGCCCACAGAACCAGTACAGCAGCTTCAGCTACGAGATCATGAACGTGCTGGCCGAGATCACGGACACTGTGGAGAGCCTCCCCACGTGGGCGGCCCCCGAGCGCATCCCGAAGACCGTCATGACCCTGGGCGATGAGGCCTATGTCCACCGGGAGCCCTTCGGCGTGGTCTTGATCATCGGCGCGTGGAACTACCCCTTCATCCTCAACATCCAGCCCCTGATTGGGGCCATCGCAGCAGGTAAGGGGTGGGTGGGCCGGCTGGCCGGGGGGCGATGGGTGTTGTAGTCCAAGGCCAATGTTGTCCGTGGACATCAAAGTTACCCTAAGTAGAAACGGGTTGTGCCTCCAGTGCCCCCCGCCTGGGGGGGGTGCCTCTAGTGCCCACCCCCACCCTCCTTCGCTTGACTTGGCAAGGTTGGCTTGCTGGTGGCGATCTCTCTCTCCCTCCTGCGTCTTTCAGGGAACGCCGTCGTGATCAAGCCCTCGGAGGTCAGCGAACACACCGCCAAGCTGCTGCAGGACTTGATCCCCGAGTATCTGGACAAGGTAAAGATCCAGTAGAACAGGATCTTTGGAAGCGGCCCTGAATCCACTCCCTGCCTCTCCCAGTTGGGTGCCCAGTAGCCCACCTTGGCTTTACTGGGTTAACTGCTGGGCCTGCTCAGGGGTTCAGTGATCTGGCTGCGGAGCCAGAGGTTGAGAATTCGATTCCCCCCCACTGGGCCTCCTTGACTGGGGCTGGACTGGATGATCCTTGGGGGGCCCCTTCCAGCTCTGCCGTTCTAAGATTGTTATATTATTGTTGTTGTTGTTATTCTGCTAGCAGAAAGGCAGGCTAGGAAAGGAACCAATTAAATCGATCTGGAGGCCATGGGAAGGGCGAAAATGAACAGGAGGCCGGACGTTTCAGAGCTGAGACCGTCAGCTTCCGTTCTCTGTATCTCTCTCTCACACACGGGTCTCTCTTGATTGCCCAGGAGCTCTACCCGGTCATCACCGGGGGCGTCCCGGAGACCACGGAGCTGCTCAAGCAGCGCTTTGACCACATCCTCTACACCGGCAACTCCGCGGTGGGCCGGATCATCATGGAGGCCGCGGCGAAGCACCTGACGCCGGTGACGCTGGAGCTCGGAGGAAAGAGCCCCTGTTACATCGACAAAGACTGCGACCTGGAAGTCGCCTGCCGGTAAGACGCCGGGCGAACGTCGCAGAACACCGGGGAGTTCGATTTGGGCTTTCACGGCTGACCTTTAGAAGACGGGGAAAGACAATACAGTGTGACACACACACACACATCCACTGTACGGGTCACCCAGTTGCGTTTCACGGCTGACCTTTAGAAGACGGGGGAAAACAATACGGTGTGACACACACACACACACATATCCACTGTACGGGTCACCCAGTTGCGTTTTGTGGTTTTCTGCCTTGTCCCCCCTTGATTTTAAACACAGACAGAAAAGCGAGGCTCTGCTGTTGTGTTTGGATTCCTGCTCCCGTTATCCGTCGCCAGATAAAGACGACGTAGGAAAGAGGACCGCTGCAGATGGCATATTGAAAAACAGTTCCTTTTTTCCCCCTCTTCCCTCCTCTGTCTTTTTTTCCTCTGCTGTCCTCTTTTTTAGATTTTAAACCTGCAGCTGGTGATTTTCTTCTTTTTGGTACCTTGAAGCTGGTCCGGGAATCCTCCTCTGGAATCGAGAAGGACAAAAAAATCCTTTCCAGTAAACCAATCTCTTCTCTCTTCCTGACCTTTTCAGACGTATAACCTGGGGCAAATACATGAACTGTGGGCAGACCTGCATCGCTCCCGACTATGTGCTGTGCCACCCGTCCATTCAAAATGAAATCGTGGAGCGGATAAAGAAGACGCTCAAGGTGAGAGTGGAAGCAGGCGAAGGTGTTCCTGTTTTCATGCCAAGTCTTTATGGACGGCTTGATCTAGAATGGGCATTGAGGAACCGTTAACCTGACAAAAGACCTGCTCCTCCTTTGAGGGGACCTGCCGGTGGCTGGACTCCGCAGGGCTGAAATGGGAGGACAGACGGCCCGTCGTTCGCTTTTTTGAAGGCCCAAGAGGATCTGTGCCCCTTAATAAATACGATTCCCCTTTGGCTTCGATGGCATGATGTGTATCTCACTCTGATTCTTCTTTTTCAGGACTTCTACGGGGACGATGTCAAGAAATCTCCGGACTACGAAAGGATCGTGAACCAGCGGCATTTTAAAAGAGTCCTGGGCCTCTTGGAAGGGCAGAAAATCGCTCTCGGGGGAGAAGCTGATGAAACCGAGCGCTATATCGGTAGATCTGCAGCCGAAGTGGGGTTGGGTTTGATCTTTTGTGGACAGTAAAAAAAGGCACCCTATTTTAAATGGCTAGATCACTCTGGTGGTTTTGAGATAGTGTTTTGGGGGAGGAGAGGCGGCTGATTCAGGAAAGGACAAAATAGAATGTCGATTTCTGCCTCTGGATGAGGGATCCCCTTTCTTTTTAATTGGCACTTAAGGTCTCAGTCACTCACTCAAAGGTCTTTGCAGGAGAAAGAATAAAAACATTGCATTACGTACAGTTGTAAACAAATCAACAGCAAAAATGAAATACGTTTAGATGTTCTCCTGCACGGTTCTCGTCGTCGTCTAGTTCTTCGCCTCCTTGACTCTCCTCTCTCTCCATTCTTCCCCCTCCAAGCTCCCACGGTCCTCACGGATGTCAGTCCAAATGCCAAGGTCATGCAGGAGGAAATCTTCGGGCCCATCCTCCCTATCGTCCCCGTGAACAGCCTGGATGAAGCCATCCAGTTCATCAACAGGCGGGAGAAGCCCCTGGCTCTTTACGTCTTTGCCCGAGACAAGAAGGTAAGCGTTCTCCCCCCCCCCCCCCCGTTTTGCAGGACTGGGTGCGCCACCCTGGATCAGATCTCCATAGAATCATGGATTAATAGAAGCGGGAGGTGCACATCCTAGCCATTGGTGTTAACGGCATCTCATAACACAGTTTCATGCTTGTTTTCTCCAGGATAAGCGAATCAGTGGATCCTGAGCCCACGGATAAGAGGGCCCTCCTGTAAATTATTTCATTCCCAGTGTTTAAGAGCCAAGGGGCCTCCTTTGGCCTCTCTGGTCAGCATTTAATTTTTGGGATCTGGGCTGTAGTAAGGAAAACCTTTTCTACCGCATTCACTCCACTTTGTCCTAACCCCGGCCCTAGAAGGATCGCCTCCTATTGTTTAGGACAGGAATGTTATATTCAGGGGGGGAAAGGCTAATTCTAGAAATCTTGAGGCCATTTGGGGCTTGGCCGGTGTTGCTTGCCAGGCTCCCAAAGTACAGTAACATTAACCGAGCACCAACTTGCATCTTGATGCCATTTGGGGCTTGGCCAGTGTTGCTTGCCAGACCCCCAAAATACAGTAACATTAACCGAGCACCAACTTGCCTTGCCGGAGAGCGAGGTTGGTTCATCCATCAATTGAGGACGAAGAGTGAGCCACGCGGCCTTCAGAAAACTGGCCTCCAGCAGATTTTCCAGACTTAACCTTCCTTCCATCTGTTGAGGATGAAGAGTGAGCCACGCGGCCTTCAGAAAATCGGCCTCTAGCCGATTTTCCAGACTTAACCTTCCTTCCATCTTCCTTTCTGACTTAGATCATCAAGAAGATGATCGCGGAGACGTCCAGTGGGGGCGTGACGGCCAATGACGTCCTGATGCATTACAGCGTCCCTGGATTGCCGTTTGGAGGCGTAGGTGAGTTTCGTGGCTCCCAGGGAAAGAGGCGGGCTGGGGTTCCCCCCCGATTTCACGAGGGTTCCCTCGGAGTGAGACATCCCAAGTGGGGAGGATGTCTGTTCGAAATCCTTTCTTCAGGAGCGGGCCTTCTGCTGCAGCCTACCTCATACGGCTGTTGTAAGAATGACACAGAGATGACGTAGAAGGAAAAAAATGTATGTGAAGTGCTTTATCCGAAGACGACGGGGCAAAGTCCAGCCGGACTTTGGAACCATTCTTAAAATGATTTAAATAGTGTTAAAATAAATACAACATCAACATAACCGTGAACCCAGTGGGTATTTAGAGGAGTTGACGAGGAACCTCTGAGCTTATGGGACTCCGCCTCCCATCATCCTCAGTCAGCACTGGCCCATGGCCTGAGAGGATGGGAGTTGTAGTCGGGTTTTTGGACCATACGACCCATCATTCTGAAGGCCGCGTGGCTCACTCTTCGTCCTCCTTATTAGGACATTGTTGGCACAATAATAAAAGAATAATGACTATTTTATATTCTTGAGGGCTAGCAACCTGTTTTTTTTTGGGGGGGGGGCTAAACCTTTCCTCCAGCTTCTGCCTCCTGTCCTACTAATACCCAAACTCTCTTCTTATGATCTTTTTTTTTTAAAGCTAAAACTTGGCATTGCACCAATTATACCTAGTTGGGTATAGTGGGCTGATGCTAAGCTACTAGTCCTCAATAGAGTAGAACCATTGACTCTGTGGAACTTCCAGACCTGTTGAATTTCCTGATTCTGCTGTATTTGGAATTTGCAGTTAGGTTTTACCCGGTTGTTTCAGTGACTAAGTCATAACAATAATGAAACGGATTGCCTATCTATTATAGTTTTGGCATTGTAACTCTTGAGTACCCAGCCTCTCGCTCCGGCTTCCGTCTTTGCTTCTCTAAAGTCCGATCCGCTCGACCCAGCCTTGGCTAAACCCTTGTGTCGTGTCGTTCCACAGGGAACAGCGGCATCGGGGCCTATCACGGCCGCCACACCTTCGAGACCTTCTCCCACCGCCGCTCCTGCCTTCTCCGGCCCCTGGGCATGGAGTCGGTCAACAAGCTCCGCTACCCGCCGGCCAGCCAGAAGAAAGTGGACTGGATGAAGACCTTCGTCCTGATGAAGGTGAACAAACACAAGTGCGGCCTCGTGCTCCTCGCCCTGCTGGGCGTCCTGGTGGCCTTCGTGGCCAAGGTGAGCCACGTCCGAAGGTCTTGGCCGTGGGCCAGGGTGGCGAGCGGGCCCTCGTAGCTGCTTAAGTATCTGGGATTTCCCCTCCCTCTTCGTCGGTGGCCGGAGACGTTGGTGGGAATCTTTAAAATTATCGTCAGCGTTCTCTTGGCCCCCAATTGGGGATCGGCGATAGAAGCGAGGGTGGGTTTTTTTCCCCCCTTCCTGACGTCCCCTTTCCTTTGTCAGCCAAAGCCATCGGAAAGCGGCTGGCTTGCACCACGACTCCCCACCCGCCCCTCCCTCCAGCCAGCATGCTGGGAGATGTAGTCCACGCCCAGAACTTCTCTGAGATCTGCTTTTCCGCACCATCCGCGGAGAGAGGTCTGAGCGGGAAAGGGTCCAGAAAGTGTTTCAACCGGGGTTGCCATGAGATGAGGCGTTTTGGGGATGGGGGTGGCATCATCCTATGCCCGTGGAGACTGATGGGTGGGGAATCGGGGCCCATCCATCATTTTTGATTTCCCCACCTTTTGCCTGTGGCTGAGCATCTCATGGCAAGGGCTGAATATCACAGGAAAAGAGTCGCATCAATACGAGCGTAGCAGGAGTAGGCTGTACATTTCACATTTTCTCTCCCCCCCACCACCTTTTTGGTTCTTCCTAGAACCGCCCGGCTCCAATAAGGGCCGAGACCCTCCTGGCTCTTTGGGGAACACAGCATATTGGGAGGCTCACTAGGAGCTGATAAGATCCCTCTTCAGAACGAGGAGGTAGGAGCCCGCCTTGTCTCTCCTTTTCCGTCTTTCCCTGCATGCGCTGGGTTTTGTGCTTCGCCTGCATCCTCCCAAACCTTTACAGCCGGCCCTCAGGAGAGCCTCGTGCGTTCGTATTCCCAGCGAAAAAGCCTGAGAAACCCTCCCCCCAGCTTGGTTGGTCTTGTGAGAATAGGGGAGGAGAGCTTTATCCTCACACACGGTTCCCAACCTTGCCCCCCCCTTTATTCTTCCACCAACCCTGCGAGGTAGGCCGGGCCAACACCCTGCTTCCACAGTAGAACCGAAGTCCCCTATTGGAGAATAGGCAGGATGTGAGCCCAGCGCCACTTTGCTGCGTAGGGTCACCGGTAGACTGCTTGTGGTGCTGGAGGTCATATATAAGCTGCTAGGAACTGTTCACGATTTCCCGTTCACGATTTCCCCCCCTTCTTCATTTAAAGCACCCCATGTGGTTGGCTGTCACATCTAGTGGCAGTGAGTTCCGCAGTTAAAATCAGTGCTGTGGGAAGAAGGGTTTTTCATTTCACCTGCCCTGAAGCCACCAGATATTCAACTTTGGTGGATCCGGCCCTTGTAGGAGAGAAGAAAGTCTTCCTTCGGTCAGCTTTAGCTCACTTTGCTAATACCGAAAGGATGCACGTATGGCCGTTCCATCTTGCTAATGTTTGTTGTGGGTAGACGTCTGTTGCCTGGTTTAAAATCCACCCTAACTTTCCTTACTGCTTTTCTGAACTTTTGAAGACGGGCAGGGATACCCTGGTGCGTTTTCCTCTTTTCCACACACACACCCAGTTTTTTTTTCTTTCTCCTTAGCTTTTCCCTCACCTCGCTCTCTTTTCTGCTCCCCTTTCTAGGCAGTCCCTCTATTTCTCTTTCTCCGTCTAAACTTTGAAGAGTTCGGGGGCCCCAAGAGAGCCTAGAGTTCCCCCTCTGATAAAAACAAATCTGCCCTGCCCTGTACTGACCGTTGTCTCTGATGTTTGTTTTCCCTTCATTATGAACAGAACTATGTAATCATCGGAAGGATCACGTTGCCTCTCTCCTAGGTAGGGAGTGTCTGCCACCTGGTGACGAAAGTTAGTAGTGCAGGCCATGGACTTATTTTAACTAGGCAGCTTCTGGATCATTTGTCTGCGTTCGTACTTGCAGTATTGAAATTACAGATTTTAAAAAAAATCACAAGCTCATGCTGCTGGTAAAAGTAACCTTGTTCCATATTTTTCTTTTGTTTTGTTTTTAGCTTGGAATTATCTGAATCGAAGGTTCACCAGCCACCATAAATGGAACATGCTAATTTTAGAGGAACGGTGATTGGGTTGATTTAATATGTGTCTTACATTTTTTTCCAATGTTCTTCTTTAGTGGGGTAAGAGCATCTCCATGCACTGGCAAAAAAAACCTAGGTTAGTTGGGGGTAAAAACCCAGCAGCTAATAGCAGAAGAATCCTTAATGAGAACCAGTGGCATGTTTCTGCCTCATCGAAAACGTAGGCACCAGATAAATCAAGGTTAGTAGAAATGGGGCTGTGCAGGGTGTGCCATTTGGTAGGTTTCGGTCTCACACTAAAGCACAACTTGACACAAGAACGGGGAAGATGGTGATCCTCCAGATATCCTTGGGTTGAAGCTCTAGCCTGATGATGGGAGTTGTAGTCCACCAATATCTGAGGGGCTGCCCCTTCCCTGTCCTTGATGTAAGGGGATCTGGACATTGTAGTCTTCAAAAGTAACATTTCCACCACCACTAATGCATCTCTGCTACCAGTCCTGCAGTTTCGTAATGTAGTGGTGGTTTGTTGTGACCTCTTGTGGTAACAAACCATGGTTAGAGTTAACCATGTTACGTTGGAAACAACTCAGCTTCGAACTGCGGCTTCACCTCCAAAACGCCTCCTGCATCGTTGCAGGGGTGTTAATTTTTTAAAAAAGTTAAAAGATGGGGCTCACGTCATATTTCCTGTCCCCACCCCGAGCCGGTAAGTTTCTCTTTATGAAAGCAATAAGTATGGTACCCATCACAAACTAATGTATATGTAAAACTATTACTAAAAAAATCACTAGATAATTTTATATTTTAAAATTGTGTATTCCTAAAATAAAGATATTCTCAAACATATGTACTAAAACTCCTGGGTGTCGAAAAATTAAACAGTATTAATCCATGACTGAAATAAAGGATTTTATTGGCCTAACACAGAGATTCCCGATTCGGCCTTATTGCTTCTGGCTTTTAGTGACTTCCGCTGTCCATTTTGACGGGTCTTTATAGTTCCGTTGGATATAAAAATTGAGATGGACAATTAGGGCTTTGAAGTGTTCCCGGCTTTGGACTACAGCTCCCATAAACCCCATGCCCCTGGTCATGCTAGCTTGGGGGGTTTTGAGGTTTGTAGTCCTCAAAAATTAAGTTTTGAAAGGTCTGTAGAACAATTTCTCTTTTGGAGGAACACATTCTCTGTTTAACAAACAAGGGCTTGGAGCTGTTTCGAACCACTTCTGGCTTGCACACTTGCAGAGTCCTGGGTTCGAGTCTCATCATTGCCCATCAGCTGACTTTAGAAACAAGGCATAGTTGTGTGTATCCTAGCATCTGGCTTCAGATCGCGCCGGAGTGTTGTTGTGTTGTTGTTTTTGGCTGTCCCCGAACCCACCTGTCCCTTAAACCGTGAAGAGCCGGATCAGGACCCCCACCGCCAGGACGCCGACGGCCGCCCCGGCAGCCAGCCCCCTCCGGACAATCAGCTGCTTGGTCGTCAGGATCTTGCTGACGGTGGTCGTCCCCTGCCCGCTCTCGGCCTGGAAGGTCGTCCCGTCGGCCCCGGAGAAGCTGAGGAGCACCACGCCGTTCTGGCCGTCTGCCCTCGATCCTGCTGCGCACAGGGGAGAAGGATTCGAACTCAGCCCTCGTGCGGCAAGAGGTAAGCAGATAAAGGATGGAGGCTCTCGGAAAAAAAGACCCTTTGGTTGGGAAAAATAACTTTCCTCGCGAGAGGCATCCGATCGTGACACCCCCGTTCCCTACCGAAGGAAGGTGCCGTCTTGGCGGGGTCGGGAACCGAGTTTGAATCCTCCGGCAGCGCCCTCTGGGTCAATCCTGCGCGGTGCTGAGCCTAAAAAAAGGGGGGGGGAGGATTGAAACTAGTCTGTGCGTGATGCATTCAAGTTGAATTGTTTAGCTGAGACAAACAGAACCCATTTTTTAATTAGAGTTTTGCATCCAGCGATATAAATAAGCTTTAAGATGCCAATATCCTATTACAATATTTTTTAAAAAAGCCCATTTGAAGCAGCTTGCAAACCAGGGTGCACGCTAGGTGAATTTCAGTGGTTGAAAACCAGCTCGGTTGGTAAATAAATAGTTAAGAGATTCAACATATCCACGTATATGTTACTGGTGGTGTGGTTTTTTTAGATTTTTTAAAAAATATGTGATGATGTTAAATTTAAAAATATATATATTAAAAATAGAAATCGTTCTAAATGTAGGATACCAGATCAACAGAAGTGGTCTGAAATGGATGAGTGTGGTTGAAAACCAGCTCGGTTGGTAAATAAATAGTTAAGAGATTCAACATATCCACGTATATGTTACTGGTGGTGTGGTTTTTTTAGATTTTTTAAAAAATATGTGATGATGTTAAATTTAAAAATATATATATTAAAAATAGAAATCGTTCTAAATGTAGGATACCAGATCAACAGAAGTGGTCTGAAATGGATGAGTTGTCAAGATGGGCTTAAAATATAATATG